CATAGGAATGCTTCCAAAAAGAATGTATTGAAACTGGTTACAAATGACGGAGTCACCCATGATTCACCAAATTATATTATTTCAGTCGCCTCCATCTCCTCTAACTGAAGCAAATTGTAGAGATTTTTTTCTATTGATAATGTAAAATTAACAGCCATACAGAAAGACTAATGTGAAGGTAAAATTACAGAGGAAGAACTTCTGGATGCAACTTAAAGACTTTAAGTCCGGGAAAACTCCAGGGTTGGATGGCATACCAGTCGAGGTATACCAAACCTTTTTTGATATACTCAGAGGACCGTTATTAGCATGTTTTAACCACTCCTATGTAAATGGTAGATTATCAGACACTCAAGAAGAAATTCTGATTTCATTATTACTGAAACAGGATACAAGTGGAAAATATAAAGATCCAGTCCATTAAAAAAATTGGAGGCCCCTTACACTTCAGTGATGTGATGCAAAAATTCTAGCAAAATGTATAGTGCATAGAATTAAAAAGGTATTGTCGGACATTATTCATTCTAATCAGACAGGTTTTTTACATGGCCGATACATTGGAGATAATATAAGGCAAGTACTGGAAACAATAGAACACTATGAAAAATCTGGGAAACCAGGCCTACTATTCATAGCAGACTTCGAAAAGGCATTTGATAGAGTACGACTGGGGTTTATATATAAATGCCTGGAGCATTTCAATTTTGGACAATCTCTTATAAATTGGGTAACTCTAGGTGTAAAATAGTAAATAATGGCTATTTCTCTGAAATTTTTAAACTGTCAAGAGGAGTAAAACAAGGTTTTCCACTATCGGCATATCTATTTATTATTGCCATCGAGATGTTAGCTATTAAAATCAGATCCAACAATAATATCAAGGGATTAGAAATCCAGGGATTAAAAACAAAGGTGTCATTGTACGCTGATGATTCATGTTTTCTTTTAAATCCACAACTTGAATCCCTCCACAGCCTCATAGAGGATCTAGATACATTTTCTAACCTCTCTGGATTACAACCAAAATATGATAAATGTACTATATTACGTATTGGATCACAAAAAAATACAATTTTAACATTACCATGTAGTTTACCAATAAAATGGTCTGATGGTGATGTGGATATACTCGGAATACATATCCCAAATGAAATAAATGATCTCACTCCAATAAATGTTAATACAAAGTTAGCAAAAATAGATAAGATCTTGCTACCATGGAAAGGTAAATACCTGTCAATTTGTGGAAAAATCACCCTGATTAACGCTTTAGTATTATCCCAGTTTACCTATTTGCTTATGGTCTTGCCTACGTCTAGCGAACAGTTTTTTGAAATTATATGAGAAAAAAATATTCCATTTTATTTGGAACGTCAAGCCAGACAAAATTAAACGGGCCTATTTATATAATGAATATGAATTCGGAGGACAGAAATATTAAATATTAAAGCATTAGACCTATCACTAAAAGTTTCAGTCATACAAAAGTTATACTTCAATCTGAACTGGTTCTCTAGCAAATTAGTAAGATTGTCTCACACAATGTTAAAGAATGGCTTTTTTCCCTTTATTCAGATTACAACCTCTCACTGTAAATTATTTGAAAAGGAAATAATCTCCCAAATATCCCTATTTCTAAAATAAGCCATAGAAAGTTGGTTGCAATTTCAGTTGAATCCTCCAGAAATGACAGAACAAATAATGCAACAAATAGTGTGGTTAAACTCAAATATACTAATTGATAAACTTTTTTTTTTGACAAAATGTTTTTAAAAGGTATAATCTTCGTAAATGATATTATCGGTAGGACTGGTGGAGTTATGTTGCACATGCAGCTAACAAAAACATATGGAAATGTCTGCTCTTCCCAAAATTACAACCAAATAATTGCAGCATTACCGCAAAAATGGAAAAGGAAAGTGGAAAGGGGAAATAAGTATTTGACCCCTCTGCAAAACATGACTTAGTACTTGGTGGCAAAACCCTTGTTGGCAATCACAGAGGTCAGACGTTTCTTGTAGTTGGCCACCAGGTTTGCACACATCTCAGGAGGGATTTTGTTCCACTCCTCTTTGCAGATCTTCTCCAAGTCATTAAGGTTTCGAGGCTGATGTTTGGCAACTCGAACCTTCAGCTCCCTCCACAGATTTTCTATGGGATTAAGGTCTGGAGACTGGCTAGGCCACTCCAGGACCTTAATGTGCTTCTTCTTGAGCCACTCCTTTGTTGCCTTGGCCGTGTGTTTTGGGTCATTGTCATGCTGGAATACCCATCCACGACCCATTTTCAATGCCCTGGCTAAGGGAAGGAGGTTCTCACCCAAGATTTGATGGTACATTGCCCTGTCCATCGTCCCTTTGATGCGGTGAAGTTTTCCTGTCCCCTTAGCAGAAAAACACCCCCAAAGCATAATGTTTCCACCTCCATGTTTGACGGTGGGGGTGGTGTTCTTGGGGTCATAGGCAGCATTCCTCCTCTTCCAAACACGGCGAGTTGAGTTGATGCCAAAGAGCTCGATTTTGGTCTCATCTGACCACAACACTTTCACCCAGTTCTCCTCAGAATCATTCAGATGTTAATTGGCAAACTTCAGACGGCCCCGTATATGTGCTTTCTTGAGCAGGGGGCCTTGCGGGCGCTGCAGGATTTCAGTCCTTCATGGCGTAGTGTGTTACCAATTGTTACCGTCTTGGTGACTATGGTCCCAGCTGCTTTGATATTATTGACAAGATCCTCCCGTGTAGTTCTGGGCTGATTCCTCACCGTTCTCATGATCATTGCAATTGTTTTGTTGTTATTCTGTCTCTCACTGTTCAAATAAACCTACCATTAAAATTATAGACTGATCATGTCTTTGTCAGTGGGCAAATTTACAAAATCAGCAGGGGATCAAATACTTTTTTCCCTTACTGTATGTGTATATATGTATGTTTTATGTTTGTGTGTGTGTGGGTGTATATTATATATGTTGAGAAAAAACATTATGGGGGATTGAAGTGTGCAGACATACATTGATGGAAGTTACAATCAAAAAAAAAAAAAAGATCTGAAATTTACAGCTGATCTACCACCAAACATTATTTTTATGTTTTTTAAATAAATGTGGAGTGGTTGAAAAAAACGAGTTTAGACTCGACTCCAACCTAAGTGTAATGTAAACTTCACGACTAATCAACTGTAGCCATTACTGTCCTCTATTTCCGTTGGAACTTTTGTGAGTGTAATGTTTACTGTTCATTTTTGATTGTTTATTTCACTTTTGTTTATTATCTATTGCACTTGCTTTGGTAATGTAAACATATGTTTCCCATGCTCATAAAGCCCTTTGAATTGAATTGAATTGAGAGAGGAAAGGAGAGATTTCAAACCTCCAAAGTATCCTGTGTATTGAGCTTGTTGTTGTATTTATGTGTGAGAGAGATAGAGTCTCTCAGTCACACATAAACACTGTGTCTGACGGTTTTACATGAGTATCATGGGAATGGACCTGACGTCAGATTTCTTCCGTTCATTCAGGGGGCTGTGGGTCAGAGCCTGGAAGTGCTGAGTGGAGCAGCTCTTTAGGCCGCTAATCAGCCCTCTCTCCCTGGGCAGGTCGCTGGACCTCAGTCCTCTGGCCTTCATCTAGCACTTCCCCCTTCCCCACAATTAATAACCATCCCTGTCATTAGTCAATGTTTCCTCATGTGAACCCTTCATAAAGGATGCATAAAAAAAATATGTGTTGGTGAATTTGAGTGTGGAGTGGGGACTTGTGATGTGTTTTATTGTAGCATTCGTTGCTTGGCTGATGGAGCTACCCTGCCTGGCCCTATGCCCAGTCAGGTTGGGGCAGAGTGAGATAAACTTTTTCATAAATGGATAAACATTTGGCAGCCAGAGGCATATGAGTCGGGAGTTGTGTGGATATTTGCCATATTTTTAGAGCCTTTGTGAGATGTTTTAAATGAAACAGGAAGTGTGGAGGTTTATGCCCCTGGCGCCCACTCTATTTCCCTCCCCGCGCCCAGTCAAGAAAGACATAGGCCCAGAGATAAAACAATATGTCAACAGTCTGGCTTCTGCCAATGGCTGGGTAAGCAATAACCCCGACAGCCTCTCAGTCCACTCCAGTTTGTTGACATAAGTAATAAATATTCCAGATCATTTGTGGCCAGTCATCCATCATAATATAATTTCAAAAGAAACCCATTTTAGTTTTCTTTATAAATGAATCTGTTGAAATGTTGTATAATTTAGTGCACCACACCTTTTAATCTGTTAATTGTATAGCATTCACATGAGAGTAAGGACATCCAAATGTAAGGTTACTTTAGATGTATTTATATATAAGAAATACTGGGTTGGAAACACTCATCAATAAGAATACATTTTGACAAAAACAAAATATACAATATAAAAAACAACGTTAAACATGTCATATTTAAAACATGTAATGTAATTTCCATACTTCTAAATAGTATCAAATAGGTTGGGGAAAAAACTATAATTTAAATTAATACATTTTGGAGTTGACATAGACGGGTTGGTTGTTTAGCAACAAAACCAATGAGTGCGCAACTACGGGGCAAAACAGACAGGGTTGTCTTAGATTGTTGACAACATGTAAACTATATTTTGTCTCCAAATGTTTATTGAAAACATAAAACCTTTGCACAATGAGCACTTGTTGTCTCTCATATACATAGTTACAGTTGTTGGTTAGCCAGCTAGAGAATTTTTGCCATATTAGCATAGACATGACATGAGCCCAACCCCCTCAAAACAAGACATGGTATCAATAACAAGATACAACGAGCTGAAACGAGCCACCTACGATTCCCCACATGGCAGCTTCTTGTCATTGTTGCTAGCTATCTGATCGTTCAGAATCATAACACAACACAGCCTTCTGCCTCATCGATGCGAGTGCATCATTTTCATGACGTTGTCAGCCAACCTGTCTATACTGTACACACAAAAACAGCTAAAATCTTGACAGAGTTGACAAATGACAGAGTTCAGGTCTCCCGTAGGCTGCTTTGCTGGTGATAACTGGACTCCATTGGCTCAGGCTGGCGTGGGGGCGGGCCCAGGTACTGTTCAAACTCACTCTGGTCCAGATCATACAGCATATCTAGGTGAACCTGCTCCAGATAGAACTCCAGAGAGGGGCCAGTGGAGGAGAACAGCTAGGGACATCAGGCCCTGAAGTTCCCTGCTCCCAATGAGACACAGCATAGGCTGGGCTGGGGGCCCCACACTGCTGCAGCCCATGCTGGGTAGAATAGTATGGATGAGGTTCTGCTGGGTACATCGCTGTGTTAGAGTATTTTGAGGCTTGTTAGGGAATGTGGCTGCTGGGTCTGGGTAAATGGACCTGTTGCGGTAGGTCCCAGGCATATGGGAGAAGTATGCCTGGGAGTTTGGGTAGATGGCTGGGTTTGGGTAGGCTTGCTGCTGATGGCACTGGTTCTGGATTAGGTAGTCGAGATCATAAGGCATGGTGAAGCCCTTGCTGCAGAGGGTGGAGAGAGGGGCCGGGGCCTCCACAGGTAGGGCTTTGGGGCCCTTCTTCAGCTGCTTCTTCCTGCGGGGCCGGTACTTGTACTTGGGGTGGTCGATGGTGTGCTGTACTCTCAGGCACTCTGCCTCCTGCATGTAGGGCCGCTTCTCTCCAGAGACATGGCCTTCCAGGTCTTACCTGTAGCAACACAATCATATTAGTTATTAGTATAGCAACACCACAAAACACACAATATCCATGCTACATTCAGCTAACTTGCCATGTCATCAATTGGTTAATAGGCTAATAATGATTTTGGTAATTGTTGAAATATGAATAGTCTCATCATAGTTTTAATTCCAATGGGAATTATTTGAATAAAATGTACAGAGAATTTTGCTGAGGTCTTTGTTCTCTAGTTCAGGGTTGAGTTGGGCAAGGCATCTGCGCTCCTCCTTGGTCCAGATAATAAAGGCGTTCAGCGGCCTTCTGACCCGTGGCTCTGCCAATGGTTTCGGCTCAGGACTAGAGCAGCTGGAGTCGGAGTTGGACTGGATGGGACATAGCCGAGGGACTGCGCCTCAGACATCTGCTCACTCTGGGAAGACGTACCGCAGAACTCGTCGCTTTCAAACATGGCTTTCGTTGCGAAAAGATCTTAATGTGGGGGGATCCATCCGATCAAAGTACATGGTTATGTATCTATTTGACCTTTGAGGTTGCTCTCCTACTTCACTAGTGATGGAGATTGGCTATATGCTGTCCCGGGAGTCTATCCACCAATACATGTAGGCCTATCAAATTTGTATTTATTTAAATCATTTCCTTTTTTAAAATGATTGGAGATAAATGCTCTAATGATTCAGTGCAATGACTGCTCTATTGTATCACGACAATTTTGGCAAATTTGACATAGGCCGTCTTTCCCTTTGAAGTTGGAGGTTAATAATAACGCGGCAGGTAGCTTAGTGGTTAAGAGCGTTGTGCCAGTAACCGAAAGGTCGCTGGTTCTAATCACTGAGCCGACTAGGTGAAAAATCTGTCGACGTGCCCTTGAGCAAGGCACTTAACCCTAATTGTTCTGGATAAGAGCGTCTGCTAAAATGTAACGCATCCATTATGGATTTACTGTCAGATTAATCGGATGCCTACTTTATTTCCCCTTTGAAATATCTTTCTGTTTTTCTATTGAGGCATTACTTCACTTTCCTCTCTGTGTGATAAATACAATTAAATCAATTGGATATCATCCTCTAACATCAATGTTCTCTGGCAGAACTTTAGTTATTCATTAAAAGACCATGGATCACATGCCAATTGCCCTCTCCTCTTATCAGGTCCACTATCTCTATCAAAGCACGTTTTACACCTATTGAGACACTGAAACAAACATTACGAAGGCAGGTTTATTACACGATTACGTTTACAAATATTTACCCCAAACTAAAGAGATATCTAAACGTTTGATAAGGGCCGCATGACAAGCTTACCTTTGTGTGTAACAGTGGCCTATATCAAGTCGATTCATCAGTAGGCCTATAATACAATAAATAGGCTATTGAGCTAAAGCCATCTTGGACATTCTGTGGGTTTTCATGGGTTAGCACAAAGACATATCCAGTATGTAAAAATACATATGTAAGAAAAATATGGACCTATTTTAAACAGGCCTTTTTGACATCTTGGCCATGTTCGTGTTGGCTTTTTCCGTGTCAGCCTTTGCCGTGCCAGGTTTTTCAGAGTGATAAGATTTGCACAGGAAGTCCTAAAAGGTCAGGAAGGAAAATCTATTGGAGTTGTGTGGGACAGTACAACCCCCCCCCAGAGAGCTAGGGCGAGTTTGTTTTCATATAAACATGTTTCGTTTTCACAACTCGTGATATTGTTCATGAATTCACAAACGTGGATGTTAAAATGACCTCAGTGTGTCAACAAACCCTGGCTGTGAGGCGCAGCCTTTGAGTTCAGTCAGTGTATTCCTTTTGATTTGCAATTTGCATGACTAGGGAAAAAGGCCTAACATTATAGAATTCCTCTTGGTTTCATATGATAATCCCACTCTATTTTCGTTGATTACACATCTGATTATACATCCCATCAACTTCAACAAGAGGCTAGTGTCATTACAGAAGTTTATGTAGATGTAGAATCAAGAAGACACAGGCGAACGCCTCTCATCCATTCTGGCTTGCACCACCTGTAATGTTTTGTTGTGGCTAGACGACTTGCTGTCATGTCTTTAGTCTCTGCTATTAAGATGTCAAAAAGGCATATAATGGGTCTCATTGTGAAAATACACACGGCACAGCAGTGGCTTCATTCATTTCGGCCTCTACCTGCACTGTTTTGTAGTGACAGACGAATTGCTGAATATTTTTTCAGGCCCCGTAAAAAAAGGTAATGGAAGTTGACACCTTGGTCAAACAGATGAGTCAGTACTGATGTTGCCTCGGTTAATTCAATAACAGGGTGATCAAGATTTATTTTTCTTCTAGATACTCCTCTTTTAGACTCTTCAAAGTCAAAGATTTTGTGAATCGATACAATGTATGCTTGCTTATTAGACAGTCTAATGATACCAGAACGAAGTAATCGAATTTAAGTGCTCCAATTAAAGCATAGGCTGCTAGCCACACTAAATATGGCTTTGTAGGCTATAGCCCTAATTCTTAAAATTGCTCTAGGCCTATTGTTAAAGATGTTAATGATATTTTGTCACATACTGCATTCATGATCTTGCATAGGATTCGTTTATCAAGATTATGCGCTTGACATTGCATATGAAACTAATCAAATTAAAGATATTTAGCCCAATAAAAATACCAAATGATAAAAAACATTATTTTGTAAGTCACACACTTCCTTAGAAGTTACCTTTGGAGTAACACTACATGATATTAGCCTAATAAAACACATAAAATATTATTTTTTCTATCCCCACAAAATGTATTGCAATGTATTTCAGGGAATGTTAGGATTAGGGTTGGAATCCACATCCGAGTGTTGAATAGCACACACAGGCACCGACCGTGTGAAAAGCCCTAATGGATTTAATTAATTAGCTTGAATGACTCAGCAAGAATACAATAATATTAGTTTCGGTTGACATTTCTGTAAATATTGTTTGTTGTAAAAGTAGCGTATCTTATACTTACCCTTAACTTTGGTATCTATTTACATTTACTGGTCAGAACATAAAACCTTTTGATTTATTTTTTAGAGTTGTTCCAAATGTTCCTTATATTCTTAACCATTATTTTTGTCATGAATTGCAGGTAGATGCGTTCAATCTCATTGGTTTCTTAATCTCTGAATGGATGGCAGTTGACCCACAGTAGGCCTATCATTGCATTGTTTCATGCACGCCATTGTGATTGTTGAAATCCAAACAACTAGGGACAGTGAATGCTGAATGGTCACTATAATGTTTGAATGGGGATTGTTCTCTGAAGATTCCCCATCACATTGTTCCATTGTATTGGACAGAAGTCATATATGAGACACTACTGAGACACTCTCTGTCTTCAGTCGGATTTGGAGTGAGCCAGGATGGCACAGGTGGAGAGATCAGCATTGGAGGTCTCCAGGGTCTCCACTACAGTCTCCTCACCCGAAGAGCACCTTTTCTGGATGTAAGAACAAGGATTCCCGCTCTGACAGTGTCTTGGATGTGGATTACCTAGGACATGATGGAGCCAATGCTGTCCCTCGATGGACCAAGGACGTACAGTAGAAAGAGGAAGCTCATTGGATGGGTCACCTTCTCCATGGATGGGTCAGAACAAAGATTCCTGCTATGACACTGTTTTGGATGTGGCTGTACCTACACTATCTATAACCTAGAAAGGTTCTTCAGCCGTCCCCATAAGAGAACCCTTGAAGAAACCCTTTTGGTTCCAGGTAGAACCCTTTAAGGTCCAGGTAGAACTATTTTGGGTTCAATGTAGAACCCTTTCCACAGAGGGTTCTACATGGAACCCAAAAGGGTCTACCTGGAACCAAAAAGGGTTATCCTACGGGGACAGCCGAAGAACCCTTTCGTAACCTGTGTAGGACATGCTGGTGTCAATGCTGTACCTCGATGGACCAAGGACATACAGTACAATAGAAAGAGGAAGCTCATTGGACTGAGTAACATGAGGCTGATAGCCTGGATATAATCATCATCACCACCAATGGGACCATCTTGCATTGTGTCAATGTGGTTTGCATGCGGAGGTTAAATGTGTAGGTGGTGGAACGGAAAATAAAATGTTCAGATCCTACTGTTCACCATCTCCCATCCTAGGATGATCTTCACCAACTATACTTTGAAGCGATGTGTATTAAAGTAACTCCAAGGACAAACGTGTCACAGCAAAAAGGAGACATAAGAAAGAGTATTCTAACAAGATGATATTTGTTAACGAAGCTCTGTATTCTAGTGTGCTAATATAAAACAGTCTCATATAGAGATACAGATGAGTTTCCACACAGTGGTTCATCATAGGAACTTGTGATCTGAGGTTTGAGCTGTGAGCTGCATTGTTTGGTAAAACTGTGTGAGTGGGAGTGGAGTGGGAATCTGGGTGTTCAAACTCCTAGTGTATTGTATGGACCCAGCAGGCTGCCATCAGATACACTGTCAGGCTAAGACACCATTCTATGTAACAGTTGTGTTCCCCTCCTCTCCCCATTCTATTCAGCAGGCTTGCCCTGTCCTCTATTCCTGCACCCAGTCAATGCTAACCAGGTGTTTGAGCACACACCACATAGACCCAGGTGTCAGCCCAAGCACTTGTAAACAGTGCCCTGCCCTGGCCTGTCCTACGTGGGGATAGCTGAGAGGATTACACACCCCCTGGGGTGGCTGGGCTTAATGTGGTCTCATTAGCTGAACACAATGATGTCCCCACCTCTCAGAGCAGATAACACACCAGACTTAGCCAGACCCTAAACAGAACTTACAACGGTACAACCACATCCTCAGACCACCAAACCCTGGCTGCCTACAGTGTTGCAGCAACAGGGCCCAGATACAGAATAGGTGTTTTAGGCTACATCATTTTGGGGATAATTTCCTCATGATTATTTCTTTATTAGGGTGATTTGTGCTTTTACACTAAATAGCACATCTGGTTTTCCTTAAGTTTTGTTTTCAAGATTTAGTTTATATCCACATATTGGTAACTGAAATAAAACTAAATGACAACAAAATCAAGGTCTTTATATTACAATGTTGAAATACATTCAGTTATGTGGAAGTAAATCTAAACAGTATAACCAGCACCTTTGCAAGAACACAGCTGCTTTAGAAAAATAAAAAACGTCTCTAGAGGTCCAATAGGAACCAATGATGACTCTGTCCATTGTATCAGCCTACTGAGTCATGATGCAGAAATAACTTAAATGTTCATATTCCATAAACAGATTAAAACTTTATTCCTCCCTTTTGAGTTATCCATAAATGTCTTTCATTGTAAAATACACTGCTCAGCAGCTCTGAAATACGCTATTGAAGGGGGCATCAAACATTTAGAGTCAATTATATTCTTTGCAAATTAGGAATTGTATTCTTGACCTGGCTCTCTGATAAGACCCCTTTCTGTTGAATTGAGTGGTTTGTTTATTGTCCGGGCTGTTGAGCGTTGGCATTTG